TTTAAGATGTTTAAAGGCTAACATCACTTTAGCTGCATCAAGACACCCCCTTTGTGAACAGCTTCTGCTGCATAAAGGTCAGAGACAATGTTTTAAACAGTTATGCATTTGAAAGGGACCTTTACTTATTTTTGTTCATTTTCATTCCACTTGCTCACCATATTAAGTTCTGAAAAGACTCACCCTCCCCCAGCCCTTTTCCACTCTCAAAAAACCCAAACCAAACACATTAAACTTCTAATTAATCTTCAAGGTCTTTGTCATTAAATAGCTCTTTTATGCTTTAATGGAAATGGCAACAATGATAATGTTGTCCTTTTAACATCAGTAGAACATACAGCCCTCCTATCTCTGTCTCAAAGAGCAAAGAAAAAGGAAAAAGGAAAGGGGAAAAAGAACTTCACGATTTGTTTAACAGCCAAGGAAACTAGCTTTCTAGAGAGGGGATGAAGATAATGGCAAAAGGGAAATGCAGGCTGAGAAGGGACACAAAATGAATAACGGATGATAACATCAAAACCTGAGCTGGAAATTTTGTGCCCTCAAATCCACTAAAAATAAACAAAAAACCCAAACGTCCTGCTTACTCCAATCCATGTGGAGAATGGAGAACTCCGAGGCCCTGTTTGTTACGTTCTTCTGTGTCCAACCTTAATACTAGGTCTAGAAAGCGCACAGCTGTCTTTCAGAACAATCTGCTAAAACTCATACCTTTCCCCACACTCTCCCTCTGGGCTAGCCCTGCATCAGTTAAAGGTGCTGATGAATTCAAGAAATGTCCATGCCCAGATGGGAGGGTCTTGCCCATGCAGTTCATGGTCTCCCCTTCCTTTACAGGGATGTCACTGTCAAACTGCAGGCCAACTCTTCAGCTGCTCTTCCAGGAGCAAAAGATGAAGGACAATGAGCAATCAAGCAGAACTCCACATCTCAGTAAGTTTGTATTATGGTCCACTGCCACAGTATCTGAAGGCTGATTTCCTTAAGTGCTGAGCTTGCTCATTCCCCATCCATTAACTTTACTGCCCACCCCACATATTCCATCACCAACTGTAGGTTGTCTGCCTCACCCAAGCAAGACATGCACCTCTAAAGCCAACCAACAGTGCTCTGCAGAGCCGCCGTAAGACAGCATTCCATGTCCAGGTTCTGCCTGTCTCAGCCTCCTGCTTCAGTGGCCAGTACAAGATGCTTCAGAGGAACATGTAAAACTCATTGAAGCCCTTTGGGCCCACACCAATGAAAGTTATGTGAATGGTAATCTTGCTCCTGATCGCAATGGACTTCAAATAAGGGTTTTTTTAATCCTAACCCACAATTTAATGGCGGGGGGGTGTTAATGTTTTTAATTGGCTTCAAACAAATAGGAGCAGTGTTGGATCTTAGGAAAGCCAACCTAGATGCATTTCCTTGGTATTAAGCTGTGATTGTGGCAAGTCCACCAAATATGCTATCTCATTCTATGAGAAGGCCACTAGGAAACACCAGTCATCATGACATGTGTTGGTTCCAATATACAAAAAGATCTCTGCTTTGGTTCAAGACTTGCTCTTAGCCAGATACTCAGGTTAAGGTTAATGAAATCTAAGTGGGCAAACATGTTTTCAGAGTAGGAAGAATTTAGAGTCCTTTGTTATCTTTGTTGTTGTTAAGTGCTTCTACCCCTGTTGAAACTCTGGAAATTAGCAAACATTGAGCAGAAAATTCACTGGTTTTAAAGAAAAATGGTTTGGAAGAGGGGAAAGATTTAGTGAGAAGGAGGTGGTGATGGTGAGGGGGGGGGAAGGTGCCTCCATCTGTGGTTAGCACAATAAAATGCAGTCACGCACAGCCACAAGGAGCTCCACTGTAATCAGGCTGTGGAATTTACTGCTGCCTCCTGCCCTGCCCCCTCCCCCAAACACACAGTGCCAAAGGCTGACAGCAAAGACCATTATCAGCCCCGAGCAGCTTTCCAGGAGCTCCTGTGCTTAAAGCCCTTTATCTTGAGGTGAGGGTCTCGGTTACAGGGAGATAAAATGGCTCCCCCCTACCTTTGTCCCTCCCTCATGACCTGTGCACAGAACAGGAAAAAAGCTTTTCATCAGCTTCCTCTCACCCTGTCTTAAAAAGGCTTCCAGCAAAACAATTAAAAATAAACCCAAAGCTATCCAGCCTCCTTCTGTATTTGTTTTAAAAAGAGTTTAAGGACCCAAACATGCAAGGGAAACATTAAAAAGCCCCAGGGATAGGAGGGGGAAGATATAGAAAAAAAGGTCACGTCCTTGCAATAAGAGCAATGGGAATTCACTCGCACAAGGCGTGCAGTCGGGCTTGAAATTAACACAGGCGCGCACATAAATGCACACACAGATCCATGGTCTGCCATCCAGGCGATCAGCTGGCCCAGCCCTGCTGCCTGCTTCCATTGTTCAATTAGAGCCAGGATTCTTAAGCTTGGCCCCTCAATTAGGCTGAAAAGCCCTTCCAGGAGTGGGCTGCATGACAAACACGTCCAATGGGCATGTGCTCAGCTGTGTAAACCCCTTCTTGTGGGGAATATCTGCAGCACTGATGACTATAGCTGCCAAGGTGTTATCTTGTGATGAAGTTTGGGACTGGGGGAACAGTCGATTTGCTTTAACACTGTGGTGTCAGATCGTTTTTCTAGCCAACACTGAGGAGCAAGTGTGTGCTTTAAACACCACAACTACTGGATTTATTACTATCCCTTCTATCTGGGTACTTAAGTACCCCTCAATGCAGTGTTATCATATGCCCCAGATTCATTAATGGACTCTGTCTTTCCAACACTGCTGTGAAGTACAGAAGGGCTACCCCAATTCACATGAGGAAGAGAATAAATCTAATGATTTGCCCAAAGGTCACAAAAGAGTCTGTGGCAAAGTCAGCAACTGTACCACATTTTTCCCAGACCAAGACAGATGCTGTAAACTATAAGGCTACCGCTCTCCTGAAGCCATTTGTTTAATCAGTTCTGGCTTGTTTTCAGTCTGTCAGAGATTTGGATTGGGGACAGCTACTACTACCCATTTATGCAGTGCCTTGCATAATTAGGATCCAGTGCTGGATGAGATGGCTTTCCAAACAGAACAGGAAAAGTATAACCACTATTCTATGGAGAAAACACGTGCATCTTCCTCAAAGTCTTACCAGCTCCCAGCCTTGCTCTTTCTGCCTCTTCTGGTGTCTCATGCTGTTTCTTCTCAGGGGGTGGGCAGGAAAAGACATCCATAGGGGCCCACTCCAGATACAGAGGGACATGCTGGAACTGCAAGAGTAACAGATAAGGAATCTCTACAGATGAAGGAGAAAAGGAAAACTCTGCAGGTGATGGGGTAGGGAAAAAAACCCACAAAGTTTGAATCTCAGTTCTGGGTTCTCAAAAGCCTTATTGTAGAATAGTGGTTCTCAATCTTTTTCTACTCAAGGCACCTCTTGTTTGGTCTGAGGCACCTCTTGAAAAATGCCAGCTCTTACCTCTCTTTTTTTGACTACAGAAAAATAATACAGCAATTCTTCTGTTGCAAAGGACTCAGAAAGACCACAACAGGTCAAAATGTTTTTAACATTATAGATTCCTAGTTGAAATCTATGGTTTTAAATCTTGTGAACCATGTTTGCATGCCTAACAGTACTAACACTGTGTGGCACCTTGTAGTTCCCTTGAAAAGACCTCCATGCAACCCAGGGTGTCACAGCTGCCTGGTTGAGAACTGCTGTAGTAGCAGAAAAAATTAAGAGGCTAATTCTCTCTTATTGGAGTTACAGTAGAAGGTCCTAGTAAGGAATTTCCAACACACCCAACTAGATTGCATGCTAGAAACTGGAGTGAAACTTAACTGAAGGGACAAAAGTATGGGGATTATCATATATAAGTTAAGCAGTGACTTTTGCTTTTACCATTCAGGGTATGTATTCTCTTTAAAGTACATCGCATTTCTCCTCTTTTTAGAGATTCTTTCAGCTAGTCTACATTAACCAAGAACATACATTACTTCCACTTAGCACTGATGAGTGTAGAAATATGATTAACAAGATAAACCCAGAGATTTCAAATAGGAACCCATACCGTCAAAAACTCTGACCGCCACAGTCTTTCCAAATTCTTTGCAACAGAACTGATCTATAATTTTTTTGTAATCAAAAAATGAGTGAAAACTAAACAGCGGCATTTTTCCAAAGGAAGTCTCAAGTCTATTAAGGTTGAGAACCACTGTCTTTAGCTACGGTAAAATGATTCCCAACTTCCCAAGTCAAGAAGGCCCTGACATCAGGGCTCCTTCAGTCTGCCTAACCTAAATGTGAAACCTCAAGGGTTAACTCCATATACTAACCTTGGAATAGGCCAGCTTGGTGAAAGCTCGCTTGGCCTCTGTGGGCTCCAGGAATTCTACAATGGCTGTGATTCCTCCTTCTGGGAGCAGCACCCGTCCAAGGCTGCCATATCGACCAAACACTTCCTCCAGCTCGGCCACACAAGTACCAGCAGGAAGGTTCTTTGCTAGGATCACAGTTTTACTCCGCTCCCCAGATGCCTAACAATCAATGGGGAGAAAGAGAAGACAGCAGGAATTTCTTTAAAGAGGGTCTGAAATGAAAGTTCATTACTTGCTCCATTTAATACCCCTCCTGGTGACATGGCAAACTGTCAAACAGTTGTATACAGTGGCACTTCCTGTCACTGAAATCTAGATGCAATAGCAGAGAAAACCCATTTGCTTGTGAGGCCAGCTGCCTGACCCCCACACACCGCTACCTTCCAGCTTCAAACACTAGTTCCCCACTTACTGCTCTGAAAGCACATAAATAGCTATCACATCCTACTTTAAAGAAGGTTCCATTTTGGGGTGTGTGAAAATTCTGTGGGTGCAATGTATGGGCCCATCTGGTGCACACCACGTGCTGCCTGTGAGTCAACCCTGAGACCATAGGCAGCACCGCAGGCCATATCTTTGATACCCTTGAAACAGAAAAAAGTCAACATTTTTTAAATGAGAACAGGAAGAGGCTTAGCTTTTCATATCTTACACTGAAGGGAGTCTAAACACCTCTGAGATACTCTGAGCCCAAGGTTTCCTATACGACCTTCAGCATCTCAGAAGCATATACAAGCAAGAAGAAAGAGCCCTGAATTTTCAGGGACAGAAAGGTGCAAGCAAACAAGAGTGAGAAGGGGGATAAGTCAGAACTGTTCAAGTTTTCATGCAAGTTTAGGATTTGAACACTTTCAACTCCATTGCTGGTGACTCCAAATCAGACAGCTGTCATCTACACATATCCACTACACTGCAGGTGTTAGGCATAAGGAAGTGATGGGTAAGAGGGCTTACAGAAGTCTCAAGTTTCATGCTAATGACACAACATGATCAATATGGGCAGGTACACTGGCTTTCAGATGTTTTTAACACGCAGCTTGCTTGCTAAGTCCACAGTATACTGCCCATTAATACAGGGTTCTCTCTCTATCCTCGGTTCAGTTTTTTTAATAGAGGAATGACCCCCTTCTAAACAAAAGAGTATTGCACAAAGAACCCCAAAGTCCAATATCCCACAACCTTCAACTACAGCAATCTTTGTGAAAACATTTTATAATGCAATCCATCCCCAACTTCTGCACCCCCACACTTTCACTGATGCCAAAAGGAAGAGAAAGACTCTCATAAGCAAACAAAAGTCCCTTCTATGTTGTCAGGGTCTTACCTGACTGAAGGAATCCAGGCTGACTCCATTATCGATCAGGAACTGGCGGACTTCCTGAACCAGCTGCGTTTCCCCCAGGGCAACCCTCACAGCCACACTACCTCTGCCTTCCTGCAGATGAGAAAAATGGAGGTGTGACAGTGTTAGGACCACGCTAGGCTAGTAAAAGTAGGCCTAATCAGAGTGCATGAGCACCTGCAACTCCCACACCACCCAGAACCAGATCCAATGGGAGACTTGCATAGAAACTAAAGGTGAAATCCTATGCCTTTCCTCTTCAAAGGAGCTAATCTGGTCCTTAGCTAGTCAAGTTATTGTTGCATACAGCATCACCATGTGTCAAATTGTTATGTAGGGCAGTTACAGACCACTTCTGTTTCACCCTACTGATACGTACTGCTACCTGATTTGACTAAACAATTATAGTGAGAGGTAAACCAGATAGATGAGAGAATGCATTTTGTTAATTGAATACCAAACCCTTATCACATCATTAGTTGACAACACCTCAGTACAAGGAATATGGCATGCCACAGCTTTCAAATTTGTACCAGGCTATCCTAGGCATATACATACTATTCACGCAACAGGCTGTCTTCACAAAATGGCTAGGAGGTATCTCTCTCAGTGGAAAATGTTAAGTACTAGGCCAATACAGAAAAAAGCCATTTGTTTCCACTCTAACAAACTTGCAGTCCTGTACTCCTTGGGTGCTTTTGCATTACTTGCATAAAGGAGGGTGGAAAATAGAATAGAATTCTGAAATTTAAAATTTTTACTCTACAATATCATACAGTTTCTTTGATCTGTTTTTGTATCATCAGATACTGTGTTTTATTTTTATGTTGTTTAATGGGAGAATGTCATAGCGTACACCTTCACCAACCACCATAAATTGTATTATTTTATTATCACGTAAATGCTATTGTCAATGTTATTATATCATTTTAGCAAAAGCTGTAAATAAACTACCACCACTATTCACTCATAAACATTGAGCTCCTGGCATTCAATGCAAAGAAAGGATTTCAAGTGAAGTATCTGCTGCAGAATGCCAAACAACTGTATTCCACTCACTGTTTCTGCAATGCAGTTTCTTTTCTTCCCTTAAAATGTTTTTCAGAAGTTCTTGATCTGTTTTGAGAAGGAAGTCTGCTGCTTGAACAATGTTAACAAAGGACTCTACAAACACAATTTGTTATACCGTATACTCAGTTATGGTTTGGGAGGTTACTGTTCAACCACCTGCTTTTGTAATCACGCAGCGGCTGGTCTCAATTACCGTGATTTTTGGAACTTCAACTGAATTTTCTCTTCAATGCTCAAGATAACTGGCTCAACCCCTCCACTGTTTAACCTAGCAAAAAACGCAGGAACCATATTGGGGAGGATCCAGGAGGGTACGGTTGCATATCCCTTTGATTCCTGCTCCATCCAAACTTTAAAACCAGAGAAGCAGTGGCATGTCCATTCAGGCAGCCATGAGAGTCACCTGGCTTCATGGCTCATTATTCTCTCCTTGATTCCTGCTAATTTCTCTCTACTGCACAGGTGTTAACAACCATCTATCTTTTAATGATCTTGATGTTCCACTATTCAATCATTACTTACTTTTGCAATTTTGCTGTTTGTTATCCATTCCTAATGTCTTTTCTATTACACAGCCATGAAGACTCTTTTTAGCTCTAACTAAAAACCTTAATCCAGGTGTGGTATTAACTCAGGTATAAAAGTAACTGACAGTAAAGTGTTGGAGGTAGTGTCAAGATGCACAAGAAGGGTAGACTTTGTTTTATGAATCTGAATAAGAGATGTACACTTAACTATAATAACTATGGGACTAATGACATATCTTTTAACTATTTTGACTGGTTTGTTGTGCGTTTTAAAACTTAATATATTCATCAAGCAAATCAGTGCCCATTCAAATAGTAGGGCTGTCAAAGAATTAAAAAAAAATTATCACAATTAACTACACAATTAAAAAAATTAGTCACAATTAATTGCAATTTTAATCGCACAGCTAAAAATTCCAAGTTATGCATGGAAAAATTAAAAAGTATGCAAATACCTTGTATGGTTGGGCAGTGGGTGTGGGAGGTGTGTGAGAGGTTTGGAGTCCAAGGAGGGCCCCTCCCCAGTCTTCCTGCTCCACCCCCCAGGCTTTCCAGCTGCAGCTGCCTAGAGCCCGTGTCCCACCGGGATCCACATGGAGCTGCCATGGCGGGGCTGTCCGGCACTTTCAGGCCCCATGGCTCAGACTCTGGGCCCAGGCAGTTCTGACTTGCAAAAGCCTGGGTGGCATGGGGGGGAGAGTGACAGCTCTGCCCGGTGCTGCAGCAGCGACAGTGCTGCGTGTGGCCCAGGCTCTGTCAGCACTGGGCAAGGACTAGGAATGCAGCGCAGATCAGGCCAGGGGCTGCAGAAGGTGGCTCAATGGGAATCCTGCTCCCACCCACTAGCAGCAGCTGCCTAGGTGGGGGGTGCCATCGCCACTACTCCCTGGGGTCCAGACCAGGGATGCATGGGGAACTGTGGGCCCAGAGCCAGCTCAGGCCAGAGCTCCCAGGCATTCCCAACCTGGCCTAAGCCCAAGCTGTGGGACCCGAGGATGTCAGTCAGAGCTGCCTTCCCTAAACCCCTGGCATTGCCAGCCCAGCTTCTCAGGGCCCTGGATGGGAATTTGGCATGGGTGGGCCCCCCTTCACTCCCCTTCCTGCTTCAGCCACCCAGAGTCCATGCCCAGGCTGCCCTACGGCTCTTCTGCCCTGCAGTGCAGCCCAGAGGTGTCGGGGATGGCAGCAGAGCAAAGCAGCTCAGTCTGGGCACAGACTACAAAACCACATGCATGATAAACGTATTAACTGGATTACCACCCCTAGTTATTAGGGCTGTGCAGAGCAGGTAATATTCGATTTGACAGCAATGTCAAATATTAAACCAGGTCCCGCTTCAATTTGCCGTCCGCTTCGAGTCGAAGAGGGTCTGCTTGGACTCGAGGTCGAAGCTCAGTCGAATATTCAAGCTGCTTCGACTTCCCCATAGGCTATAATGAGGAAGGTCAAAGCAGGCTATAACTTTGGCATTTCTTGTCTTATCTTGATGAAACTTGCAGGACTTGTAGCTCCTGAGGAGCCCACAATGCGTGCCAAGTTTCAACAAGATAGGTTCAGGGGGTTCGGAGAAATAACACCCTAAATTCTTGAGAGAAAACCTCCTGTGACTTGTGTGGAAAGCCACAGGGAGCTCAAAACTGCAGGCTTGCTAGCCCTGGAGGAGCCCACAAAGCCTGCCAACTTTCACAGTGATAGGTGCAGGGGTTTGGGGGAAACTGCACCGTAGGCTGCTAACAGACAAAACTCATGATCCAGATGGAGTGAGGAGGGCAGCATTCGCTCCGTCTGCACCCGGCGCTTGGGGACCCCGGCAGCAGGAGGCTCACCTTGAGGAGCACCAGCTGCTCCCCCAAACCAGGATCCAAGCAGGTGCGGTGGGTTTCACAACATCCGCAGCCATGCTGAACACCCTCTTGCTTAGCACACTGGTCGGTGGACAGGACAGGTATTCCCAGGGAACTGTGGCCAGATGCGGCCACATAGGGCTGCGGGCTGCCCAGCAGGCCAAGGGGTCGCAGTCCAGGGGCTCCACAGGCTCGGCAAGATAGGCAGACACTGCAGTGTGAGGGCTGTCTGCCTAATCCTGGGGTCTGGTGGGTCTGGACCCCCCGTTTGCCATGGCCTTAGCCCATATTGGCAGCGCCTGTGGTGGAGGGAAAGACTGGCTCATGGATGGCAGGCTGGGTTCAGGCAGTGGATCCCCCTGTCCCACTTCCCCCTGCCTCCATCATGTTCTTAATAAGTACCTCCCTCCAGTGACTCAGTGTCTTGTTGCCACATATGGTGCCCTTCACCCTTGGGTTACAGATGACAGCCAGCATATGCACTGTGTTGGACCCCAAGGGTTCAAGCCTTTTCCTAAGGCCCTCCTTCAGCCGCGTCACCAGTGCCTGCACATCTGGTGAAAGCGACTTGCCCTAGCCAGGAACACTGGTCCCCAGGAAGCTCTTCATTTGGCTGTGGAGCTCCTCCACTATGGGGACCACCTGGCTGAGGAAGGCATCAGCAGCATTGAGGGTCTCAGTGGCCTCGAGGAAGGGCTTGAGGACCATCAAGAGCTGGGAGACGGCATCCCACTCAGCTTTGGTCAGGGGACCGCTGATCCCAATCTCCCCAAGCAAGGCCAGCTCATGGACGGCCTTCTGTTGCTCCACCAGCCTCTCGAGCATCAGGTATATGGAGTCCCACTGAGTCTCCACATCCTGCATGATTTTGTGCTATGGCACATTTAGCTCTGCTTGTTTATCCCGCAGCATCTTGCCCCGCTTGATGCTCTGGTAGAAGTAGCCTGCCACCTTCCTGCATCTGGAAATGAGCCTG